GGACTTAGCGTGCGTTGTTTAAGTGTTCCCTTTATATTTTTGAGCAGTGTATTTTACTTAATATGAAAATTGTTTCTTTTATCAATGGTAAACTTTAAATTTATGATTAAATACAACAAAGATAATAAGATTTGAAAGATAATAATAACTGTCCCGCCCCAGTGCTGTTGGCTTTAAGTAACTGAGCAATTTATTTGGAAATCACAGTATTAATGTCTGAAAATAAGCTGCTTTAAAGTCACCATCGACCATAAACTAAATCTGCCATAATGCATGTTGAACATCCATGGGAATTGCTTGTCAAAGTGGGAGAGTTCAGAATTCAATATGGCAGCTACTCACTAAAACTAAAACTTTGTTAGTTTTACTTTTAATATTTCTGTATTTATTTCAGATTTAGTCAGTCGTACACTTAGTTCTTATCAGTGTTTTAAAAGAGAACAMGTTAAAACACTGTTTAGWCAAAGTTAAACATGAAATGTCAAAGTTGATTACAACTGGSCCTTCGAGGACCACCATAACGCTCACGTGTCCCTCGGTGAAAATGAGTTTGACACCCCTGCTCTAAACCTAGCTAGTAAAGTTTAAAAAAAATGAGGACCACAAAAATGTCCTCACTTCTCAAAAATGTCCTCACTTTGTTGGTTAAAAACAAATGACGGTCCTTACTTTATAACAGAAACAAGTGCCCACATACACACCGACACACACTATAACAAACAGACACAAACACACACAAGTTGTTAATTCTATTCTCATGGGGAGTTTGCATTGACCTCTGTATATTTACCGGTCATTTGCCCTTACCCTAAACCTAACCACTGACCCAACTTTGGTATTTCCCCTAATGGGGACCTGGCTTTTGTGTACCAGAAAATATGTCAAAAATCATCCCCACCAGGTAGCAAAAACATGTACGTACACACACACACACACACACACACACACACACACACACACACACACACACACACACACACACACACACACACACACACKCASASASASAGAGAGAGAGAGTTTGGCATTTTGATTGACTGATGGCATGAAGTTTCCTGTGGGTTTCTGATTCACAGACACAGAAGCAAAAATATCTCATAAACCTTCTTAGAACAACCTGAGCGCTCTGATGCACAATATTTAGCTGCAGGCTGTTTGTCCCAAATCTGCCTTTTTCTTTTCTTCTTCTTCTTCTTACCTTCCAGACACGACTGAAGTAAGAGCAGCTGGGTTGTTCTGAACCTATAAAAACAGATGGTGAATAAAAGTTTGATGCAACTTTGCTTTCATGTCGTCTGCAGGAAGAAAACACTTACAGCTCTCACGGTGAACGTTTAGTTGAACAGACGATGTGATTAAACTACAGGGACACTTGGAAAAGTGAAAACTCAAAGTGGAAGATCTATTAACACAAGCGGGAAGATGTGGCCCATAATGCAGCTCTGATGACCTKGCACTCCTTAAAGGAATGCCTATTACCTTTTCTTCAATTTTCATGCCTGAATTTTAAATAAAGAGCCTCATTTTATGTTAAAAAATGACAGTTATGACTGTTTTGGGCAAATCTTCACAATAACATTAATATGAATTCTCACAAGATTTTGCATGATTCAGAGTAGCCTGTTTCTCATGACTGTCAGCTACTACCATACCAAGATTTAGCTCAATATCTATAAAATGAACAGAGTTACAGATGTTTTTGTGCTGGCCACCGTGGTGGCCATCTTCAGTTGGGGTGGCTCCAAAAGTTGAAAAGATTTAAATAAATATTTTGCGTGCACAAAAAAGAAAGTTCGAAATT